TCCAATTCAGAATAAGGTTCACTTGTCCGTTTTCTCGGCAAAGTTTCCAATATATTTTCAAAATTGAAAAAAAAATTGTCATTGTATGTGTCAATATTTGTATATTTCGAACGGTTTTAGATATTCCACACTGAATAAAAATCAAATTGCAAAGCAATAAGTTGAAAAAAGTAAACAGACCAGAGTTTTTTCACCGGAACAATCAATTCCCTCATAAAACTCTTAAAAAGAAAAAGCTTAAAGCAGGGGTCCGTTCATTATTGCTTCTTTTGTCTTTTTAACGTTTACGTGGTGCATCGTCCCTTCAGCCCCTATGTGGGCAAAAATCGTTACATAGCTGTAGTATGGACTTGTTTGTTAGAATTACGTTTTTGTGAAAAAATAAAATTTTACTTTTCCTTAAAAATTTAATACAGTAGAAAAAAATACCAAAAATACATACGAACCTACGTCTCCACCTTCGCATGTCGCGAAAGTTTCCAGTGTTTTGAAAAACATATGAAAAATACGTGCATCACAACATTCAAATTAAGCAAAAAGAAAATGCTTATTTAGACACATCCTAAATCTGAACCACTAGAAGTAGTAGATTCCTTATAATACGCATCGAATCTTACGGTTCTAATTTATTTTAATGGATGTATTAGGTTGACTGAACAATTTCTCAGGGGTCACACCTAAATATCTACTCCCAAAGATGGTTGTTAATGTAGTTGTAGAAAGGGGGCGTTATAATAGCATTTAAGAGAAGTTGAAACAAGTTCTTATGGGCATGGTTCATACTTCATACCGTATCTTTCACTTTCAGCGGTATCATATTTCTGTCTTTTTAAGTGGAGCTCGCATCTCTTTTCTTTATAAGATTGTCCGAGGTGATGCAATTCGATGCTGGTCTCGACTAATGAATCACTCTACAATTTTCTCTGTGCTCCAACGTGGGACTTGAGGTGTTATAGGATTTCTAGTTTAAAGTAATTATGACGTGTTCGATACGAAAGATAGATCCCTTACTTAGAGCGGTTATGGCATGTTTGGAACGAAAAAATCAGTCCATTATCCTTTGGTCTTGTCACTTGCATCATCATCGCCTTCCCGCAAAGCAAGGCAGATATGGAGGTAATGTAAAAGAGACAGAGAGGGTGGGAGGATGAGCAAAAAGCAGATGGGTCAGTCCTCGTCAAGCCACAGTGGCAGCTTTAGTTCAATAGTTAATGTCTCGTAAAGAACTTACGTTGAATGAAAGCTATCATAAGCAAAGCCCAAGGCAGGTCCTTCCTTGCTTTGGCTTTGCAACATTTTCCGAAAGCCAATTTCAAGGATTAATGAATTTTTTCAGTTGCTTTTCTTGCCCTCAGAACTTACTAAAATTTCGCTTTTACCCTCAAATGCCTCCTGAGTACTGCAAACTCAGACGGTCGCACGCGACCTCAGACCAATGGCCTCAGGTCTGGTCGGTGACGTCGCTGTGAACACCCGAGTGGCCATCGACTTAGCTGCCGAAGTTGCCGAGGGTCGCACAAGATCTGGCTGCCGAAGGTCAACCGGCGGAGATGTTGAGAGAGAGAGAGAGTATGAGGCTCTCTCAATCTCCTCGTCGGCAACGTGGTCGTGCCAGGAGGCCCCTACGAATACACCGGAGAAGGTTACTTTGTGTAGCTGCTGATGAGGTGCGAGAGTGACCGATTATTTTGAGCTGCTCATGGGTCTTTGTAAATACAGCTTCCTTTTCAAATTATCCAACCTCTTTTTGCATACACACGTACCCACGATATTCACGGATTATAGTTTCATGTTGGACACATGCGTTATAATAATATAGCAATTATAATGTTCAACTTACACGTTCATTCATTAGATGAATGATATTATGTTCGGTATTAATTTTGTAACTGAATTTTTCCACACGTCAATAATCCAACGGCAAGTCAGCGGTGAAACTAATAATATTTTGGGCCGTTTGTTTGAAGGAAAACTATATCCGGGAATTTGTTTTCCGACTTTCCGGTGTTTGGATGACGAAAACTAATTGATCTACTGAAAGCGTTTTCCATGAGCTAGAAACAACGAACTTATCGGAAAAAACAATTTCCCCTTATAACAAGAAGGAAATCATTTTTCCTAAACCATCAAACAAATGAAAACTCACGATTTTTTTATGATAAAATTTTCGGTAAAAAAAACGCACCCTTTATTAATAATTATTTACCAAGATATGGGTTCATGGTCTTTGACTTTAACATGGTGCGTCATGCATCATGTGAGTTTAGGTGCGTTTGGTTTAGTATTTTGAAAGCCCCTTAAAGAAAATTTGGGGTGTTTGGCAACAATTCACAAGGGGTTTTGTGGTGAAACTTAGCCTTGAGCTTTCTACATTTTCGAAAGTCTATCTCAAGAGATTTGAATGACTTTTTTTCTTCCCATCTTGCCCTCACTAGATTTCTCATATTCCCCTTTTACCGTCATTAAGGACAGATTGTGGCTAGTTGCTGGCAAGCCCAGGCATTGCATGGGGTCGCATGTCAACAACGGTGGCTGGGGTTCGCGCGACACTGTGGCAGCACCTGGGCTTGCCGGCAACCCCAGCAGCCCTCACCTCGGTTGCGCAACCCACATCGAGGTCACCTTAGGTCGTGCAACCTCAGCCGACGACCGTCAGTACCAGATCTAACTTGTCGACAACTTGAGCCCTTCGCCGAATCGGAGAAGGGTTTGATTTTTTAAATTAAAAAAATAGAAACATTGCAACCAAAGCCCTTTGCAAAAAGAATCCCCGCCAAATACTACTTGACTCAAAGTTGGTTTGTAAAAAAGTTTTTACCAAACATAATTTGCATTTCCCCAAAGGGCTTTAGCCTTTCAGCATTTGCATTTTCCCAAAAAAACCATTTCCAATGTCAAACCAAACGCAGCCTCTATCCAATTAATTTGGCCATGCCCGAAAGAAGGGAGTCGAATTCAGCAAGTTCTATTTCAAGTATTAAATTTTTATAACACCACTGCTGTTGTGTTATAATTATCGTCAAAAGTCATGGCACCCGATTAAGATACTACTTATTAAGGAAGGTTACTAAGGTGTCATTCATCTTTGTCGTCCTCATACATCAAGTCATTGGCATAATTATTTAAAAAATCTTAAACTTATGATACAACGGTTCGGTCAATCCTAAATTTTTTCATTTGGCCAATTTAGTCCTAAATATTTTGACGATAAGGGAGCTGCTGAATGAGCCGGCCTCTTCAAGCACGAGCTTGCACTGGTCTCCTTCCTTTATCTTGATGGGCCGAGGAATTAGACTTAACAGGCTTGAATTGGGCCAAAAGGTCCAATTGGGTTTTACCGTTAAAAGCCAATTGGGCCAAAAGGTCCAATTGGGTTTTACCGTTAAAAGCCAATTGGGCCGTTGGCATCAATTGGCCCCTCAAGTCTCCGTCATTCGAAATTTTGGTCGTCGGGCCAAGATCTTGAAACTACAATGTTCCTAATCTAAATATGCATAAGAAACTTGGTGAAAAAAAAATGAATGTACGATGATGAAATGACGACGCCTTCGATTAGGGTCAAGATCCAACGTGGTTGGCGAATTCCATCCCCAAGATAGTTGACGGACTCGAAAGCCAACTCCGGTGTCAACAAAAAGAAATACAAAGGTGGCTGATTTTTTGCTAATGCCATTCTATGGGAAAATTATCAAAAAAGTTTTGAAATTATTGTGTAGATGTCAATTCAATCCTAAATTTTCTGAAAATTTGTCAATTTAGTCATTCCAGCCAAATTTGATCAGAAATCGATGACATGGACGCTAGCCGTCTTACGTAGCACTATCGACACTGACGTGGATAATCTTTGCAATCTTTTAGAAAAATTTCTGAATTAAAATTTTTTCTAATGCAATAGGAATTAAAAAAGCAGCTTATTTCATGCTAATGCCATTCTCAGTATGTCCGACTATCGAGTCGCGTATGCTCTCCTCACCGGTGCCTTCTATAGTGGACCAGCACATGCCAAAAGCCTGTACCTTGCTGCTCTCAAAGTCTCACAAAATAATCTCACACTAACTATATTAATCCGAAAATAACTTCAGCCCAAATAAAATTTGTGAAAGCTCGTGTATTTTATTCAGATGAATCACAACCGTACAAGATAAAGTAAAGACAAGTTGATAATGCAAAAGTGATTGAGATGATAACAATGCGATTTCTTTAATCTCCGTCCTATAATTTCTAATTAGATTAATAAATACTCAAATATTGAGGTGCCATTTGGTTACATTTATAAACACTACAGCCTCAAGAGAAGCAATCTCAATTCAACATAGTTCCACCATCGTTTTAATAGCCTCAAAAACGAACAAAAATTTCGAAAACACTAAAAGCCCTTATGACATCATATGACATCATATGATAGGTGATCACTGTTAGAATATTTAAATAATAAATCACGCCTTAATCTAACAGTTCAAGATTTTAGAACAGTTGATTGTGATTCCACCAAATCTCACATGATATCAGAGCACAAATAAATATGTCCAAGCTTAGTATCAAGCAAAAAGACTAGACTAAGCATAAAGGGGAGTATTAGAATATTTAAATAATAAATCGTACCTTCATATAATAGTTTAAGTTTTTAAAACAGCTGATTGTGGTCCTACCAAATCTCACAATCACTACGAGTAGTAATGATGACCTACACAGCTGCTATTGAATGCCTAATTTCGTCCCTCGCGCCAAAAGCTCTCGTTAATTTTTGGGGTCAAGAGGAGGAGGATGAACGGCATTCAGACGCGACTGACTATTAAGAAAAGACACATGATCCCATGGTTGGTTCCTACTGTACAAAAAGAGAGAAAGGAACCCTTCGAATAACGTGAGCGACCTTGTTTATTATGTTAGAGATTTAATATGTCCCGGACAAAAAACATGAGTTTGAAAAGGTGCGTCACCCACTAGCCCGATCCACGCAAGCAAAGCCAATTCAATTCGCTCCTCTCGTCGCCTCAGCAAAAAATGCATGTTCACAAGTTTGTTATAAGGATCCCTTGTTTTTCTCTCCTTTGCCGATTTACTGAGTCCGCAAAGACCCTCTTCTTCTTCATCTCCATTTGATCTTCTCTTCTTTCTTGCTTGTGCAACTATCTGCTCCTTATAGGTTATTATGGACAAGAAGGTTCTTGATTACACGTTGGTCCCCTTGGGCTTGTTCATAATGATGGCCTACCATGCATGGCTCCTCCATCGGATCGTGAAGCACCCCACCAAGACCGTCATCGGCGTGACCGCCATTAATCGGCGATTCTGGGTTCAAGCTATGATGGAGGTAATGTGGTTTGTCTCCCTCCTCTCTTTTGTCTCCCCGGAAATGCTTCTTGACCTTTCTTCTTTTTCGTGGCGTCCGACTTGTGTTGCAGGATGTCTCCAAGACCGGCGTTCTCGCGGTCCAAACGCTGAGGAACAACATAATGGCCTCGACTCTGTTGGCCTCGACGGCAATCACCCTCAGCTCCCTCATCGCCATCCTCATGACCAGCGGGAACGGCAACCAATCCTCGCTCTTCATCTTCGGAGATCGGAGCAAGTTTGGTTTCTCCGTGAAGTTCTTCGCCATCCTCGTGTGCTTCTTGGTGGCTTTCCTCCTGAACGTTCAGTCCGTAAGGTACTACAGCCACACAAGCATCCTAATCAACGTGCCGTACAGGAAGATATCGCAGCACCAGCACCACCACCGGGCGATGGTGGAGTATGTGGCCACGACGGTGAACCGGGGGAGCTATTTCTGGTCGCTGGGGTTGCGGGCGTTCTACTTCTCTTTCCCTCTTTTTCTGTGGATTTTCGGTCCAATCCCCATGTTTTTGAGCTGTTTCGTGCTGGTTTGCATGCTGTATTTCTTGGATGTCACGTTTGAGTTTGGGTGGGCTGTGGGGGCTTCTGATGATGATGAGAGGAAAGATGAGGAACTGGGAAGTGCAATGATGACGAGTATCGGTGGATTAAACAGCTGATCTCCAACTTTACCTGAGCTTCACAATATAATTTCTTTCATAAGTTTTGCAATCTACTAAGATATTAAAATACTAAATTGTTTCTTTATCGAATATGTATTAAAATATTCCTTGAACGTGGTTTGTTTAATAAGTAATTGCCATATATTAAGCTATCTACCATTCAATTAGACAACCTAGAAAATCCCGATTCCTCCAAGAGTGAGCATCTCTTGCATCGGCAAGTCATCCATCTTTATGCAGATTTGACACCCCAACAAGACATCAACAAATGATGGATCAGAAGTAGTGAGTAGAGATCAGGAGAACAGGAGCGCTACATCCTTTGAAAAGTAAAGACAAAGCAGAAAATTGTATCAAAACCTCAAACTTTGAAACATTAAAGTCAGCAATTTCGATCATCTCTTGCAAGCATCGTGGTATAGCCAAAATGCCAAAACTCACAGCTTAGTGCACAAGACATGCTAGGAGGAAACACTCAAAACTGAGTCCATCCATTGAGACATGATGTGACGAAGCATCTTCCGCCCTGTCTTCATGTGGAGAGTGGCATGTGCGCGCGAATGCGTGAATCTTATTTTGGTCAGAGAGAGTGTGGTGTACATGTCTACTCCATATTGTGGGCATATTTACTATAGAAGGTAAAGAAAGAAACTATGCTCGCAGTCTCTTAAGCACAACCTCCTGCTCCAGGAAGGCAGATGCATGTTAAGGTTTTATTTTGAGAGGAGCTCTAACAAGCCTTGAAGTGTATAGGATAGGAGTGCAAAGATGCAGCAGGTTAAAAACCTTGTGTTTTACCTTAAAGAGGAGTAATCACCTGTAAGAGTGCAGGCGAATGCAAAAGCTTCTTCTTTTGTCTACCATGGTTCCGAAAGCAAGGGGAACGATAGATGTGCTATCTAGGAAATTCCTATCAACAAGAAACCGGGAAAATTTGGTGATTGGTCCAACACCAGAATAGGTTCAAGGACCTAGATGCCCATCTAAAAAGTAATGGATTAGACCCAGATTGCCTGAAAATTCGCCAATGCACAACTGAACGACTTGTTGCAGTTAATCAAATTTTATTTAGTTGGACCGATTCAAAACGATGCAACTTATCTCAAGAGAAGCCTCTTCTGCAAAGACTTGGGGATGTCGTCTCCTGGTTGATTCAACCAAATCTTGACACTGCAAGTTGCCCTGATACGAACTGAAATGGTCCAAAACCTCCTGCAAAATGGGTGTTGTAACAGTATTAGAATATAGTCAAGATGTCTATAAACGATTACGGAGTGATAATGAATTTAATGTTTTCAGATATAACATAATTGTGAGCAGACAGATCTACAAGAGTGCTCAAAGCTTATAGCTGTTCTTTCAAGACATAAAATCCAAAGAGAAACAGCAGTTCACCTATTAAAAGCCTGAAGCATCCACTCTTGTGAACTGACAACCACTTTTCCTTCATAAATAGATAAGACATTGAATGGAAGCCGGAGATGCTCAACAAGCATTGAGTCACAACCATATAACCTTCGGACCCACGGAACATGTGCAGTGAGACTCCCATGACTCTTCACTACGTTAAAGCTCCAGTTGACCCCAGTCCTCAAACATATCTTTAATTCGCTGCTAAGATTCCCCATCTTCCAATTCATCATTAATAAAGAGGAAATTTTCTCCGGTTACAGTGGAAATCTGGCAACAGTATAGTGTAACGATGTGAGACTAGAGCGCTCGTTCGAACCTTTCAGCCTTTTCCATCGCATTCTTCAACTTATGGCTTTGATATCTTTGTTCTACATCCTGCCATTCACAATGAATGACATGACAATGGGAATCTGCATAAAACAAGTTGCTCATGCATTAGATAATCTTTTTAAGTGCATGCTGAATAAAGAAGGGACACATACAGATATCGAAGAGACAATTAGATAGAGAAACTGTGGCAACAGGATTTATTCACATTTCATGAAGATTAGAAAAAGTTCCTCAGAATTTCAACTGTTAACGAATAGCCCATAAGTCAAAAATGTTAGCTCTCTTTCTCAAAACTTTCAAGAGATCATTTTCATCCACCTTTTTCCTATGCACCGATTGATATCTTGGGGGCACTGGAATCCATTCCAGATTACTCGGCAGCATAGCAAGTCTAGACCACAACAGGAGACCATGGGCCTGAATTTAACATCATGTCTGAAAGTCGTTCAATTTTAATTTCAACTTCATATTGCCAGCTTGAACAACGATCTCTTTCTTAGAGCAGTCCACTTTCAGAACCGTTGCTTTCCTCCCAAGGGATGGAACATGTATCATTGCACCAACTACTGGAAGCTCAGATTTTTTCTCTGCATCATAAATGGGAAAAGACTGTTTAAGTAGATGGATTTTTTCCATTTCAACAAGACTAGAAATAGGACTCTTGCTAAAAGAGAGTCCTCACCATATTCCTTCCATGACAATTACTTATGTTTCTAAATAAAATGAATATGGCAGAGTTTCTTAAGCAGTACCTAAAGATGATTGCTTGAGAGGTTCAGACGGGATTGTACTTTTCCTTTGCACAAGATCTTTGCTGTCTTCATCTATACTATGTTGGCGCTTGGCAGCCAATGACTTCGGGCTTGTTTTTACTCCAATTGGCTGGAAGCGCTGCACTTGGGATGCACGAAACTCCCGCACTCTCTTATGGAGAATTGAGCGTGCCACTGCAGCAGCCTCTGATATTTCTCTAAACATCTTATTCTTTTGAGCAATACGTTGTTCCTCAATCCTCCTCCGCGCGGCCAACAATTTTCTGTGAAGGTCCCTCGCGAGCCTAGAATAAAAACAGTAAGAAGCTAGATGCAGCTACATATAATACAAGTTTCATTTCACATGATGCCTTGCTAGCAGAAAGAACCACTTCTTATAAAGGAAATGGTTTTTTCATAAATTTATACACTTATTGTAAGATGAAATTCATTGGCCACTTTCAGAGTGCACTGACTCGAGTATGTCAAACAGGAGAAACCTAAGTAGAGGGTAATCGGATACACTTTCATAAAGACTCTAACTTACCCTTTAATGAACCTATAAGTTTAATAATATTGGGTATTTACACAAGCAAGAGTAGCATTCATTCATGTAGGAGTATGAAACAAATGCAAAGGATACCTACAGAAATAATGGATAGATGCTCCCTCTGAACTCAGATAAAGGGGAAGATATAGTTCCAATCAGTACTTCTATGATTCAGCAGTTACTAGTTATTTAAGACTCAGCCAAAAACAAAAAGGGCAGTCATTGCTTATTAAAGAGGCCAATTCCAATAAGCCAATGATTCTCACATTAGGTAAGATTGTGAATCACGTTGCAGCTCACGGAATTCCTGCTTGTATTTTTCCATATCAGTAATGAGCTGCAAGCGCATACAAAGATGTCATCAGTAATGGCTCCTCAACAGCCACCACAAGAAAAGGGAACAAAACCAATCTCCATAAATGCAAGTGGATATAAAAATAGTCAGCTGAAATTGCGGATTGTGCTCCTGTTAGTGCAAACTTCCAAAATCTTCACTTGCAGTAGGCACATGATGTAAAAAAGCCTCACGTAGACCCCAATCCATGGACTGAGATTATAAAAATGCATATCCATGTTCTTATAGTATTGGTATAAACCACAATGGAGTGTCAAGCAGAAAAAACTGAACCCACAGGCTACAGAAAAAGGCGTGCCAAATGTATGATATGTTACAGCACATACACCTTTCATAGGAGTTGCTATCTTATTATCAAGATATTGTTGACGACCAGAACAGTTCTAAGCTAACACTAGTTACCTCATTTATCTCCGCACTTGCTGAACCATACAGTTCACGAGCATCATTGACAATTGTGCCAGGCAGTCCCAATCTTTCAGCTATACTGATGGCATTCGAACGCCCTATAAGATAAAACTCATGTCAAGTTATATCCAATTTCGACAGATACAAAACAGCAAATGATAGCATGAGCTATTATTAGATCTAGTGCAACAACTGCAGGACATAACAAAGGCAGTCATCTAATGAAGAATGAAAAACCTGGAATTCCCCAGAGAATCTTGTAAGTAGGCTTTAAATTTACTTCATCAAACTCCATACAAGCATTTTCGAAGCTAGCAGCGCTGCCAATCATTGAGAATATGTAAGAGCCCAGGAGCACCAAGGGAGCAGCAAATCTTGTAGTTTGTGGCAAATGTCAAAAGCAGATGTGTCCTATATGACTTCAACTAGATTAAACAAGCTAAACCACTGCCACCAGCGACAGATCTAGAATTATAAACCGTGGGGGTCCAAGTTTGATGTGAAAATTTTGTTTTTCAATAACTGCATAATCCAATATAAAATATTGATAAACGTGGGGTGGAAAGCCAAGGGGAATTACCCCTACATACCGATCAAGCACAAGGAAAGGAAAAGTTTGAAGGATGAATATGTATCTGCAATGGACCTTAAAATATTCAAGTTAGGAAACTACCTGTATTTCAGGGTTTTCAGTTCACCATGATGGGTTGTAGCTATTGTCAAAAGAGCACCATTGGCAAAAGATTCCAGCAGTGACATTCCCAGAGCTGCTCCTTCTAGAGGATTTGTTCCCGCACCAACCTATCATTGTTATCACATACCAATAGATTATTTCATATCAATATTACCTAGGTAAGCACAAGAAGAGCTGTAATTGCATAACAGGTCACTCAAAGGAATCACGTCAGACAATTTTGAAGAGGCAAAAGAAAGACCGGCAATAACATACTTCATCTAGTAGCACTAACGACTGTTTTGTTGATTTTGATTGAATGTCCTGCAAATATATCATATAAGAAAATATCAACTAAAAAAAATGATTAGTGCCATGATTATGAGATGGCATGATAACAAGAAAACACCATACATCTTAGTGATCAAGATAATCACAAACCTATGTCCTTTAAACGTAATTTCAGTTCCTAAAACCTCAAATCATATTTTCTAGCCTTCTATTGATTCTTCTTCGAGTGTCTACCATTTTTGCTAGTTATTCTAGAATTTTCCAATTTTTAGAGAGAAAATGTTAAATATGAGTCTATACAACTCCCAGGGTTATAAACTAATCCAAGGAGCCCTAAAAGGGATATATCCAAGAAGGCTATGCTCACACTGATTTGTTTCAAGTGTCCAGAGAAGGTAGATAAAGATTGGGACAAAGACTGTTCATCACCAATATCAGCAAAGACAGAATCAAACCAAGGGATCCGTACAGATTCAGCTGCCAAGATGTATAGGCCTGCAATAACAACCTATTTAGAGGAAAAAACTGAATGTTGCTATCTTTAAAGATAGAGAGTAGAGAAAACAACTAGGACATAGATAAACTTTGTCCCTGGTGAGATACTTTAAACATTACAGAATATACATGTACTCCAGATTGTCTACAGTTACTATGAAAAAGTGTGTTTTAATTGGAATGCTGTTAATAGATAGATCTGGATTGGAATTGCAGACATTTATACCTGGAGAGACAGAAATAGCGGAAAAATGAATTTACAACTGCAACAAATAAGAAAATTGCGACAGGAAACCCATTGGCCTGTCTCAGAAAAGGCACCACAAAGGAAAGCCAATTATTAAACCTGATTTTGCCATCAGAGCTGCCAAGCCAATTGTTTTAAGGCATACAGTTTTCCCACCAGTATTAGGGCCAGTAATGACCAAAACCTTAGTCTCCCTGGAAATGAAAAAATCAACTGCGACTGGCTTAGCTTGTTCGATGGCTGCAACCTGAATTAACAGCAAATGTGTCAAAATAAAGAATTAAGTACTATGCTCAAATTGCTTTGAAACTCACCCGCTCTTTCAGGGCTACAATATCAATCTCTGACTCTCCTTTAATTGACATTCCTGCTGCCATTTTCCTCCTTCCTATTTCCTGAGCCATCATATTATGCAGTAAGCACCAACCCCTATGTAGCATCTAGATGTTCAATGAGCACGTGCAAGAGCAGATGATACAACAAGAAGTTTAAAGAGAGTTATCATAAGCAGAAAAATAATGAGAACGTTTACAAGCCATTCCATGACTCACTGCAGCAGCACTGCTGAGATCCTTTCGGGCCTTGCGCAGATTTAGTCTATGCTGCTGGACCAACAAGGGATGATAAGCTTTAGGCAAAAACAACATCCATTCCATGGAGTTTGATGATTTTGAAATTTTGTGCTCTGACAAGGATGTTTCAGCGTCGAGCAATCTACTCTTCTCCTCTTGTAGAAGCAGATCAGGACATGTGCCCCCATATGAAAGACTATAAGTAGCTCGAGCATTTATCTGCATATTAGCACCCAAACAATAAAAAGAGCACCTCCAATTATTATATATAGCTCAATCTACAATGCTATCACCACAAGCGGTTTTGCAGTTTTATGACCGATTTTCATAAGAATTATCAACAGTAGCTTTTCGAACACAAGGTTTGTTGGAATTTCCCCAACAGAAGAGATTTTTGCCTCAAGTCTGCCTATGAGATTGTAGCTAATAGATATCCTGAGGATCATGCAAGGACTGTTCTTGGATATGGAAAATTAATACAACCCTAGAATTAAGCAATTCATTTGGCAAAGTCTCCATAATAGCGTAGCTCTAAATGAAGTCCTTGTGAATTGAGGTATAAATTCCCAGAACTTTGTTCAGTATGCGGGCAAGCCCTGAATCTGCAGATCATTTGTTTTTATTTGGCCCTGTGGCTAGAGAGTTTTAAGGGGCCTGGCTATTCCTAATAGCCTGGCAGGGTCTTTCGTCAAAGATACCTGGGAGTGGATTGAAGACAATGTTAAAAGCAAGGTTTGGTATCAAAGACCCAAAATTCCATGGGGAATTGTTTTCCCAATGGATCTTTGGGTTCTTTGGCAAAATAGAAATAATTTTTGTGTAAGAATCAGCAAATTTGCCCGAACTGACTTCTTTTTGTTTGACTAAAGTTGGAGAATCTTGTGCTACCATGAAGAAAAATGGGTGTGGAAGGAGAAGATTAAGGCAGGGGACGAAACAAAGGAAACCTGAACAAGAGTGGGCTAAGGTTAATTCAAATGGAGCAATGTCTATGGAAAACGGAGAAGCAGGAGCAGGAGTTTTTTGAGAGATCACTGAGAAACTGGATAGCTGGCTTCTCACATAACATAGGAAGAAGAATGCTTTCATAGCTGAGATTTGGACGTTAAGAAACAGAATCAGACTTGCTATTACAAATAAAGTTACTCATTGGCATGTTGAATTGGATGCCTTAGCAGTAATTCATGTTCTTAAAAAAAAATCTCACAATATCTCATAGAACCTCTCCTTTTTTTAGTGCAGGAACTTGCTGGAAGGAGTGCAAGCATACCGAATTGACCATATATACAGAGAAGCAAACGGATGAGTGGACGCTCTGGTTAGGTTGGGAAAAGGAGCAATATATCGAGTTTATTATATCCACTAGTATTCCAGATTTTACTAAGGATACTTTATAAGGATGCACTTGACAGTAGTTCAACTAAGAATGATGTAACTTGATTGGTTTAATTTCTCAATGACGCTCTTTGTTTCACCACAAAAACATATTCGATTACTTGAAAGTTGTTGAAAAAGGTAATTCAAACTGTATGAGGTCTAATTTTCATTTCCTACAGACTTCACATAAAAAGGATAACACTCAGGAAACTTAGAAACTGTGCACACAAGACCACTCTGCAGAAGAAACCAGAGAGAGAGAGAGAGACTTTGGTAGCAGTAGGAACGTTACCATATCCAGTTGGATTATTCTGTTCAGCAAAATTTCAGTTTCATCAAGATCCATTTGCATCTGCTTGAGAAATGACAAGGTGAGAATATAAAAGTAAGAGGAAGCTGGTGACAAGAAGAAATATCAACTGGAAGATATGCAACCTTCTTTGTTAACATTAGAAGCACATCTTCCTCTGCCTTTGCCACCGATCCTCTTGCTCGTTGCAGCTCATCATTTAAAGGAACGGCAGCAAGTGGCTCTATAATATTTCCATTCCCTGAACCACTACATTATGACAGATCCAGGATAGAATAAATATCCTATTAAACGAAATAACCTTGTACCCAAGGAGTCCAAAAAAAAAACTCTTCATCCAAAGTTCACAACTATTTGCATCCAGTGAGAGCATTCATCATGCAAATTGTCCACCAGCCTGCCTTATAAAATGAAAGCCTTCTGGTTTGAGTTACCAAAGAAGGCAAATAATGTTTCTTTCTTGAGTAAAAGTTAACATTCGATGTAAATTGCAAATAACTTATCACCATTGTCATGCAAGCAAAACAATTATCAAATCCCCAAAGTACATACATGGTACTTCTTTCTTTTTAAGGATGCTCAAAATACAACCAAGCTCAATTAAAATATTAATATTACTTGTCCATAAACTAAATGTGCTCTATGCTTAAGACTGTAGACCAAAATTAATAGCAAAACTGTAGAGCAACGATCGACGCGACACATTACAATTCAACTATCTTATGGCACAAAGTAACAGAAAGTCTCAGCTCTGAGCTAAGATGAAATAAGCGAAGAGCTGTAGATAATTTGCCAGTGGACTAGCATACTTGTAGCTACTCAAAAGCTCTTTGAAATGCAAAAAGAAAAGGAAAGAAAAGAAAAAGGGAAGTATGTATAATTTTTTAGCACCTGGATATCAGTAGACCATTCAAATTTGTCAGCTTATCCATTCCGGACTTTATGCACCATCTTCCATTGACATTACTCACTTCCTAAAATAAGGAAAATATGAAAGTTAAAACAGACAAATAGAAAGATACAAAGTAAACACACATGTAGATCTGCAAGATTGGTGCACTCACTTGGAAGGATGACTCATTCCTATCATTCATCATTAATTTATCCATCAACTCATGTAGCTGAACAAAGAAAATGTAAACATAACTAGAATCAGTTTTTAGCATCAAATAAAGAGACAACTCAGTGTTTCAAAGGACCGAATAAGAGACTGGCTGAGAAGTGTGAAGAAGATCCACAAGTGGAAACTCTATTTGGACAGAGTACCTTGAATAAAGGTAGATGGCGAATGAGAACGGGCAATGCAAACTTTCATTCGCATATCAATAAAAATTGACGAAAAAGTTGGCGGTCAACTCACATAAGGAATTTCTGACCAAAAAAAAAAACTCACCTAAGGAAATGCTTCCTCTAAGTCAAAGGCAATTAAACCAATAACAATAATAAAGGAATTGTCTCACTGTTAAAAAAAAGGATGAATTTAAATGGTTTTGGCATCCCCTTGATGGCTCAGCCTCTTAAATGAATTATCTCACTATCCAAAAAAAACAAAAACAAACTAGGAAGTGTCGCATGGAGGCAATTGCCCCCCATTACGATAACACAGAAGATACAGATAAATATTGATGCAATAGGAATAAGATGTTTTGTGTCAAGTTTTCTGTAATCTGGTGCAGAAGATGCTGACATCTTCTGGTTGGCCTCAGCAATTACAGTTGATTAGCCACTCTGAGTGCATAAACATGTTCAAGCATCACAGTCTTTGAAACACCAAAGGGAAGCTTTTTAATTGCAGGTACAATAATCATTCAATGCATGGGACAAAAGTTCAAGGATGATTTTACCCTCTTTTCAAGCATCCGCACTTGTTCACGTGACCGTTTAAGCAAAGGACTCTGAAAAATAAAAATGAAAATGCTAAGATGAGCTACAGGAATGGGAAGGAGAGAGAATGGAGAATCACATCCAAGCCTACTAAAACAAAGCTGCCACATGACAACTGACTCTGAAATATTGGAGAACTTACAGCGGAGTCTTTAACAGAGCCATCTTCATCAAGGACTTGCTGTATCAACTTAATAAGAGCTCGATTTACTATGAATTCCAGAATCTGCAAGGTAACATCAAAACTGGAATAAGTCCATGATGATATTAGAAATCAATAAATGCAACTGCTTTATTCATCATATATACTTGAGTTCTGTAATGTTACCACTTCACTCAAAGGCATGAAGCGTCTATGCCAATCCGCATCTTCCTTGATTGCAGCTCGTAGATTCAGCTGTAGAGTATCAGCAAATTGCAATAGAGATGCAACCGCTATTGCTTCATGTCCGCTCATGGGTGAGTCCCTCCGAGCACGCTGAATTGCAGACTTGACCTTTGGGAAGATCAAGAGTAAGCAGTTAGTGACATGTCAAGTTCAGCATCTTGTTGAAACCTAAAACACGTAAAATGACCCCACATAACCAGGTGACATGTATCAGAGCTCAGTACCAACTTCACGAACAAAACTGAGCTAGAAGTGGAAAAAAAAAAAGAGAGAGCAAGAAAGATTTCTGGCCTGATTGAATTCCAACTGTAAGTACATATCGGAGATAATTGTTCGTTACTTAGGAGTTCCAAAATGCACATCTGAGATTCAGTAACAACTATGACCAAGCAACGCTTAAGAAATCTGATCTGGCTCTGAGAACCCAATGAGAAGTAATTATACACAGCATATGAGTTTCTAAACTCCATGTTGCTAGAAGAGGACAACATTAGCGTAAAGCACTGACCAGAGCAGCATCGATGCCACTGAAGTCCAAGCTGAACCCGCCAAGTCGGTGCATTTCCACGGCCGCATTGGTTTCGCTCAACAGCCTCATGCTCTCCTCGTACGTCTGATCCAGAGACCACAACCGAGCCTTCACAAACAACAACCAACGCCCACACAACAGCGACAGAATTTCAATTGAAGCCACAATCACAACCAAAATTCGACTTCAACAAATCACCAATCGCCTCCGTACATAGCTTAGCTACAAAAGTATCGAATTCGCACGTGAAAAATCAGAATCGCCTAACGGAAATACGCGAATCTGCCGATCAACCGAACTGACCTTAGCGGCTTCCCGGCCGAGCGAGGTGCCGGCGAACGAGGCGACGGAATCGCAGAGCTTGTCCCACTCCAGGACCCTGAGGCTCTGGAAGCGAGCGGAGGACGGCTCGCCGCCGCCGCCGCCGCCGGCGGAGGCGGTCCGGGAGGCGACGGAGCACCGACTGAGGAGAGCTCGGTTTCTGAAACAGACGGACCTCAAACTGACGGCGAGTAGCAAAGAAGAAGGACGAGAAGAAGGAGAAGGAGAAGGAGATGGAGGGAAGGCGACGGAGTGGAGGAAGAGCGTGCGAGACTCCATGGTTGCTGCTGTTCTTTCGAGCAGAGACCGTTCGTTTGAAAATGGCGGGGGCTTCTCTGGATGACGAGGAGTGCCAGAAAACACAGGCGAAAATGATAAAGAGCTTGCAATCGGGAACTACCGGTCCGATAAATTGAAACCGGAGATTCAGACCGGTCCGAGACTATTCTGGGCGGTCCGGTCTGATCCGGTTCTTGGCGGTTCCGGTTTTCTGCTGATGCACCCCTAACAGAGATGAGCGGTGCGTTGCGATGACGTGGGCTCCCTGACAAAAAAATATATATGTTGGGCTCCTGGTTTCTCTGGTAGGCCCAGGCCCAGGCCCAGGCCCAGCATTGGCCCAATATGTCATCAGCCCTGTTGGGGAAAAAATTGGAAACTGGCTGCAGTATCAAGATCAACAGCAATGCCTTGCTTGTTTTTATTTGGTACATTCAATTTTTCTTCTAACGAAGATTCCGTTTATTTCGCAAAAACATAAATGATTTAAAAATTATTTTCTCAGAAAACGATTGTGCGTATCGCTTGGAATAAATTAGCCAAGGAAAAATGTTTTCATTATAGACGACGATATATGTCTTAATATTTTCGTGGACGATGAAAAATAAAGCGATCATTTTTCGAGAAAATGTTTTTCAAATTATTCAATTTCCCGTGAAACAAAACGGAGCCCGAGTTAAACACTCGTGCAAAGAGGCCATGCACAGCTACGCTAAAGGAGGCATTGTATCTCCATGGTCAATTTGCTCCTTTTATCAATCACAGTATATGTTACTTTTCTGCTTGGTTTGATCGAAGGTGCACCAGCAATAACCAGACATAAAGAGTAAGCTCCCATTTGATATCGATAGAAATTGAAGTGCCCGATCAGTCCAATCCCTAAACTCCAAAATCGAGGTCATGGGATGGCAAATTGGGATCGACAACACATCGCCCCGCGAAATGTTTATTTTGTGTATGGACAATTCGAGGCGACATCGATGGTGATCTTGTAAAAAATTAGCGACGAGGCATGAGCTAGCATCGCTGTCGGCGTTGGCAAAAATTCGAAGCGTTCGATCAATCCAGGTCCTAAGTTCCGAATTAGGGTCATCGGGGGCAATTGGAATCAAACGATATGCATGCCAACATCGTGAATTGAATCGGATAAAATTATATACATATGACAAAGATCGTATAACATAAATTAAAACGAGAGATGTTGTTTTCTAGTGAAAGCACCGAGGCATGAAACAATCAGTCACTAGTTGCTCGTTGGCCAACCAATTGAGAATGTTTTTTTGGACAGTTGAGAACATAGGGATAATTGTCCAAAAAATCCTAAATCTATTGTATGATAGTCAATTCAGTTTTAAACTTTTCGATTGTGCCAATTTAGTCCTAAACATTTTGATAATTTGCCAATTTAATCATAAACCTTTCAATGCGTCGAGTTAGTCCTAAACCTTTTGAAAATCTACCATTTTAGTCCTAAACCTATTATTTAGATAATCGACCGGAAATGCTATATTGGCAAATGGTCAAAAAGTTTATGACTAAATCGGCACAATGAAAAAGTTTATGACTAAATTAACACAATTCAAAGGTTTAAGACTGAATTAGTATCGTACGATAAGTTTATGACTTTTTACACAATTTTTTCTTGCGAATATATATTGACAATTTTATTGTACATTGTTTGGAATTAGCGGCCTTTCATGCGTAATTCTCTTGCTTCCACATCACGAGAAAAAACGAGAAGTTAATTCATTATTGAGGAAAATAAATTTAATTGAAAGTTAATGACATATTCAATCCCCAAGTTGGATTTTCTTTTATACAAAAAGGTGACACGAAATCTCAATATCTCCATATATATCTACGCTCTTAGGTAAGATAAAACGAGCCTCCTACTTTTGAAAAATCACAATCATTAATCTATTCCCTAAATGTTGCGAATCGTATATAATATAGCCGAATTACAAATATCATGTCAACAGACCATTACGCTAATTCTAAATTTCAGTTTATCTCTCGCATTTTTCAATATAGAAATTTGGATATTTTCCATCTTATAATAACCTTTCTAAATCTTGAAACGAATTCTCTTATCATTTCCTTGTATCGATTATTTCTTTTTGGAGGTAACGACACAAATGGTATATAAACTTTGGCCAAATGTGGAAACATCGTTCCCGAACTTTTAATGTGCCATCTAGTCCCCAACGTTATCCTCCATCGGTTCAAGTTCACGAACAACATCGAACATCTCTATATAGTTCGGGAACTAAATTGAACATACATACATTGAACAAATTAAAAATTCAAGGATGACGTCGCACATCGGACTAAAATTCATGGATCATATTGAACAAAATTAAAAGTTCAGAAACGACATTACACATCGAATAAAAGTTTACGGATCATCCGTGTCGTTTTCGCAAGAATGAAGCGATTCTGTTAGATATATATTGTACAAACGGAATGCAACTATGCATCGCAGATGATGCATCACGATCCAATTCTAGTTCTGCCGCTTTGCACGAGCTCGGCCTCGCATTGTCGTCCATTTGGCACTCAATGGCTTGCGCTGCCCTGCCCTTTTTCCAACTTGTTAAGTATAAGAAGACAGGCGTACCCTTTTTTTTCTCACGAAACCCATCCGTTGACTTTTTTCCCCCTTTCGCCAAAAGAAGTTGTCAATTCGACCGAACGTCACTGGGGATGTTCGTCAACATCACGAAGTGGGAAAAGGCGTGGCCTCTCTGACGGCCGGTTGGATGAATTGGAATGGAGTTCGACAATCAAATCAAAGCCACGCTAGTTGATTTTTCAACGGAGATCTTGGAGATTCGCAAATCTAATCATTTTGTGCGCTTTCTACACTGTCGAAAATGGCGACATGATCGGCTCAAATGGACAACGAGTTCACTTTCGTGTGTTTTAACAACTCCGCTCTCCTGAAAATCTTACCTCTTTGCACCATGCTTTAATCTAACATGACACGGAACATGATTATGAGTTCGGATTTTTGCATTTGGATCATCGACTGTGCTCGCTTGATTGGCACGGCACTTGTGTTAAGGATCCATTTCTCGACTTTCGAATCAAGAGTCTCTCCCCACGCACATCTCTTCACATGGCTCAAGATGCACCATCAATCAAAAGCATGATTAGAATTACCATGACACTTGTTTGGACACATGTTGCTCTAAGCCCAATATTATAGCTCAATATTTCAAGCAGGGAAACGTTAAATTTGGTGCCGACTAACTGTAGTCGACCCTTTTTTGACCGAAAACAAAACCATAGTCGACCCTTCGACCAAAAAAAGAAAATCTATAGTCTACCCTAGTTATGCACTCATAAAATGAATTGATAACTCTAAAAAAAAACACAAAAAAGATATCATTGAACTTACAAGATTAGATTCAGTGGAAACATCACGGCTGTTCTTTCTTCTTTCCTTGTAATTTATTTATTTATTTCCTCCCTTCATATCACTTTCTCTCATACTCCACACCATAGCCGGCCGAGGACCAATAATTAAAAAAAAAAGATAGAAAAAAATTAAATAAAAATCCGAGGATTAAAATCCAATACGTAGATTCCAAATGCATCGCTGTCTCTCATTGTCTACAATTTTGTCGACCTTATCGTTACGAAGAATTTTACCCCCAAAATAAATAAATAAATGGAGAGAAAGGTCAATTTCGGTCTGTCTAAGAAAAGATTATTTTTGACGGAAACATTTAAACAAGTTCCTCGGGTGGGGCCCACGTGTTTGAATTTTTTAAGGGTATTTTTTTTTTTGGGTCGTATTTTTTTAATTTCTTAAGGTCAAGGTTAGGAGATTCTCCAATCCATTGCCAACTGGAAAAAGGTTTCCTTGACACGATGCGAGATTCTCAAGATTCACATAACCATGTGGTATAATGTCTCTTAGCATTCGTCTCCCCAATCGGCATGCGACACGTGTCTTGTTTTTTCCTTATTTAGGTCACGAAATATCGTGGCTAGAAAAAAGTTACAAGAAAAACCAACAAAAATCCAACTAGTTTTACCCACGTTAGGAGCTTAGTACCATTAGCGGCAAGCACTGGTCGAGACTAATGATGGTTCGAAATGTCGTATCATAAGCTCAAAAAGGGAAGCGAATGACTTGCATGCATGGCTTCTGTCCTTAACCCACGAGACGATCGTCTTTACCAGTTTCGCACCGTAAGGTGGTCCCGCATTTTCTGGTCGAGAGAAAAAAGAACGAAAGTCGGGACGTGTGCGGATCATGAAAAAACCAAGGATTAGAAAAAAAAAAAAAAAACTAATCGACCTCTCTCGCTTTCCTCCCTATGCCAGTGTCGTTAGGACATCAAATTAAAATTCGGTTTGTGTCGCGCGGATTATCCTACGGGGGATGCTTTATCTATACGGTGAAATAAAAATTCGTCGACTCTCTCTCTCTCTCTCTTTTGCTAGGAAGAAATTCGGCTACTCATCAATAACCAAAAAGTTAATACCACAAAAAATCACTTATACACTTATAACAAATTGGATTAATATTATAAAAACCTACAAACTAGGGTACCCGTGACAAACAGAGGTAAGATTCCAAATCAGTAAACTCTAAATCGATGTACCCATTAGTTGTCACGTGTCATTTAATTCAATAATTTGACTGTAAAATTTAACGAAAATTAATTGAAGGTAAATTTTTAATTGGTGTATTGGTTTGAGAATTTTTTGTCTTCGTTGCCTACTACTGACGTATCATTCCCTAGCCTGCTGTAAACTTAAGAAGAAGTACGAGAATTCCTGGACGAAGAAGAAGGCGACCAAAGGCAGGCGCACAGATCAGATCAGATCACCCACCACCAGTGGGCAGAGAGCCCGCCATGGATTCTCCTTCCAATCCCGTCCTTTTCGCCAATATAATAGGAGATATAGCCTCCCCTCCCCCTCTTTAAAGGCCACTTGCCATCTGCAGCTCCAGCTCGAAACTCGGAACTCGCCTCGTGTCATTCCTTCCCCAACTTCTTCTCTTCTCCTCTTCTCTTCTCTCTCTCCTGTCGTCGTCCCTCGAAACCCGGGGGAGCATTCCGTGCACT